CCCGCTGCTGTTGGTAGCACTCCGCGTTGGTGTGGTTTGACCACGGATGAAAATGACAGCGCCTGTCTCCTCTGGTCTCGTCGCTCCTGCTCCGACCGTCGCCTTTGCCGTCCTGTCCGCCGCCGCTCCCACTCGACCCATTTGGGACACGTCCGTCGCCCCGGGGCGCACCGGAAGCGACGAAGGCGTGCCCCACGCCACTCTTTTGCTCCTCCTCCCGTGCGCGCACCAGGTCCGTGTGGGCCTCCTTCACGGAATCCTCAATCTGCTCAAAAGTCAAATCAGGGGTGCGGTCCAAAAGTTTCTTCTCTATCTTGTAGTCGGACGAGAGTGCAGACACTAGGTGGTCGTTTGCTTCGTTGTCAGGATACACTGTCCCGTGCGACGCTAGTCTACTCCGCAAAATAGAGAACCTACCGAAGTACTCTTGTGGATGTTCGTTTGCATGCATTGCGAAGCCATGGTACTCTTTCAAAAGTCTTTTCTTCTCCGCGTTTTGGGGGGGGGGGGGCAGTTGCTGGAGTACCCAAAAAGCTACGGAGGAACTCGGGTGCTGGGCGGAGCGTTTGCATTGCGCGTTGCGCTTGGTGGGGGGTGGGGCTGATACTTCTCAACATCACGCAGAGTGTGTTCGGCACACCTGATGCGTCCTATTAATAGCGGTGAGGTACATCAGTGTATCTTAGCCCCTCCACAGCGGCAGCTTGTGAACCTTTGCTGGGGCTCATCATCATGAGTTTAAGCGGGAGATATTTGCGGCAAATTGGGTGGTTACGTGTTTCTGGACAAAGAGAGCACTACTTCCAGGGATGTTTCACCGCGGGGTGATTATATTCAGTGTGCAACCATTGCCTTCCTATGCGGATGGAATCGTCCCTTTTTCTTTTGCGTAGGCGTTCTCGGTGGATGTTTCGGTACACCAGCGGCAATTTCAACACTTGCACCCGACGAGTATGGAAAAAACTGATCGACGTACCCTCGTTGTTGCCGGGAAAGTCGTCCTGGAGGTGTCGCCGTACTGCCCGTACCGACTGAACCTCTCCTTCAGCGCTTCTTCCGATTCCACGGTGGACAGTTCCCGAATACACCAAGTCAAAGGCTTTGGCAGTCGCGAGCTGGACTGAGCCTATGTCAAACCGGTACGAGAGAGCGGAATCGCATTTGGTCAAAGGCTTTGGCAGTAGCGAGCTGGATTGAGCCTATGCCAAACCGGTACGAGAGAGCGGAATCGTATTTGGTCTCTCGGGGCTAGAGCTTTCCCCCAGTTGGCGCTTTGCGACAACAAAAACGATTCGGTGCTCGTTCGAAGAAAGAAGCCTGTCTGCCTACACAAGCCAGCTGGCGCAGGATCTCACAGCGGGAGCCGTTTTGCGCAGCACGCAGTCATGCATTTTTTGCTTGCCCGTAGTACACATCAACCGCCCATGGCCGCCAAACAAGAGTGATATGGTCCGGGAAATTACTGAACGCATGTGTATGATTGGCATGGCTTCGACAACATCATTTCCGATGGAACTTCCGGCCACTACTATGTGGTGAGTGTAACCGACGCCGTCCGCGTCTCCGACGGCGTTGTTGGCTCTGTGTGAGAGAGTTGGCAAGCAGAGAAACGTCGAAGAACGTGACGAGCTTGCCCCCCGAGAGGATGGCTATTTCATCTCGGCTTGTTCGGGTAGATGTCACCGGTTGCAGTAGGGAGAACGAGACTTTCAAACGAATGAGATGATGTTTTGTCACCTTCGTCAAGATATTCCTTCAAGGATTATTGGGTCGTTTGGCACCTTATCATGGTCGAGAGAATCATACCTCAGGCGGGAAGGAGAGAAGGAGAATACATTTGAATTTGATCGAGAGAGTCAAACCATGTGCTGGCAACGGACAGACACGTTGATCAAGAAATGACGAGGGAACGAGAGAGCGCGAGAAGTATACCCATGAAAGCCACCCAACTCATTTTGGAATGCCGAACTGTATCGACTAGACTCGGCAAAGTGTCAGAGCTGAAGCAATGACGGCATGAAAACATGCGGTGATCGCAACTGGCAATAATAGCGTGCAAGTAAGAATGGTGGCGTGAGACCGCTAGATGAATGAGAAGCCAACCTTTTCAGCTCAAACAATGTCCATCATCGGAGTTTTTCTACCTCTGAACTATCGGTAGGAAGGCCGACAATAGACAGCGGACTAGGGTCAATTCGACCGGTGTACGTGCTGCGGTGGTTGGTTTTGGCATCGATGTTCATCATCAAGAGAGGGAACGACTTGTTTACGAATGGATCAACCCACCAGGATCTTAAACTACACATGGCGTCAGCGATATACCTAGCGAGCAAGTCATACGGGTCGGCTCTCCTGCACCATATTCCTGAGAGGGCTGGCGGTAGGCAGAAACACTGATGTCCAAACAAGTCCAAACGGATAATATGTATCATCTGGCTACGGCTGAGGTTGAGGCGGTTATTCCCGTGGGGCCTTTTGGTGCAGCCTGGAACTTGCTGGAAAGCATACTCCGGGCATCTTCCCGCGGATATTTTTCTTGTGCGTATCAGATGGTAGAGGCAACGCCCAGCCAAGGTGACACGCGGGCGCGATGTCACGAATGCTTTCTAAAAATGCATGTGGCGGTGTGCATGTGTTGTTCATGTGTTGGTCGGCCCGTGGCAACGCGGTGGTTGCTACAGAACTGTCGAATCCACGGGGCCCCCTATCGTAATCTCGCCGCCTCTGTGTGCTGGCGGTCTCTTCCGCGTTCGTTCATCATCATTGCCTTCGACAACTGCTTCAATAACAACGTGCAGCCCTTCCAAAGGCCTCCTGCACCTGCCCATGACCAATGTTTCTGCACCGGAGGCAGTGCGAGGTGCGAGTGTGCCAAGCTCGACATCTGGTCCCCAAGGGCAGGAAGAGGAATGGAGACGACAAGCCTGCTGCACTGGTAGCAGACGCCGTCTGGGCGCTGATGAGCATCGACGGCGAACACAACACAACTGAGAGCTGCCGGAACATCGAACATCCTTCGTGGCAGCGGGTAGCCGTCTTCGACCTCAACCTCTGCCGTGCTGCTGAGGGGATTGACAGGGACGCCCCAGCAAACCCTCCAAGAGACTCGAACCCCACAGCGGTGGCGGCGGCGGCGGCGGCCGCCTCATCCTCTTCCTCGCGGAATTCAAGTGCAACTTTTGAACGGCCGAGTGCCGTTGCTGCAGCAGTACCGGCTAGGAAAAACAAGGCAGCAGCAGCAGCAGCAACACCCGCCGCTGTTGCTGTCAAGCGATCGTCGTCGTCATCCCTCAACCCTTTCGCGGTGGCCGAAGCCGAGACTCAGTCACTGAACCCGTTCGCCTCCAACTTCGTGCCGCCGGCAGCCACGCCGCTGCCGCCGCCACCCCCAGCAGCAGCATCCCCAAGATCTAAATCTTCTTTTCCGCCAGCGGCCGCAGCGCAGGCTCTTCGGGCATCCATGGTCTTGCATCTCCGCGTGCTACACGGCCGCCTCAGGTCGAAAGAAGTGCTGGGCGATGTAGCCGTTGACTTGGTCCCGCTGCTTCGGTCAGGGGGCGACCGGCTGGCCACAGACCGCTTGGAGTGGTTGGAGGAAGAAGGTGGCGCGCCGCTGCTGCCGCTGGGTGATGGTGACGCCGGCGTGATTACTACTCCTCCTCCTCCGCTTGTTGCGGTTGACACCTGGGTGTCTCTGCGACAGGGCACCGCTGAGCTTCGGGTGCAGATACTGATAAAAACCCCCAGGGAACCCGCGGGCAGCAACGTGAGAAGTCAACGTGCACAAGGTATGTACATATGTATGTCGGCACTTTCGCTCTGACCGCCAATTTACAAAGAATATCCGACGGGCAGTCAGCTGCCGTGGATAAAACTGGGCCAACAAATCATTGCAAGCGCGCACAAGACTCGAAATAAGTCCAGTACATATACCCAGCCGGTTTTCCTCCACTCACCGAAAAGACTCCACCACATCCCGTTCGACTGCTGTGGGTATATCTCGAATGGGTAGTCTTTCTGTCTGCGTATTTATTTTTCCTTCTTCCTCCTATGTGGTACTGCTGTATATGGGCTGTATCGACGTGTGTACAGGGTACAGGTGGAGAAGGACGTTCTCGAAGTAACATAAAATTCGGAACTATTGCTGCTGCCAACCGTAGTTTTGCTTGCACGCCCACAATTCTCCCCGCAATCTCTGTGTCAAGGAGAAGCGAGAGTAGGAAAGCGTTTATATTATTGTTCAGTACGTGTAGAGGCGAGCAGAGTGGCCTAGACCAGCAGCAACAACGGTCCGTTTTGTTTGCAGCCGTCCAGCACTTTGCGGCCCCAGAGAAACAAACCGCACCGGCTTGAATGCCTCCCAGGCACTTCGATCATTGTAGTCTGTTTACACTCCACTGAGCGGTGTAAGCAAACCTCCAGCTGCACGCAGCAGTTGTGTTAAGGGCGCCCAGCTTGGTTCAACTATTATCGGGATAACTGGGAGGGATTATTTGGCTGGTGGACAGCGGCGATAACCGCCTACCACGTTGGTTGCCGCTTGCTGCTGTACGCTCCTGCTGCTGTGTCTGTGCGTCTTCTGAAGTAGAACAATATGCTCAACGCTCAATGGCAAAAAGTACAGCAAAAGAATTAGCATACCCCGGCTGATGCACCCAGAAAAAACGCCGAAACGTGTAAAGATTGGATGTCGAGATTGCGTGGGACAAGGACCCACACACAGTTGATAGCCTTATGGAAGCACTCTCCGTGTTTCAGCCGCATGGAGACTGACGTCTCTTCACTGGTCAGCCGATTAGCGCGGTCGATGCTAATCAACGAAACACACACAAACTGAACTGCTGCCGCTTGTTTCATTGTTCAGCCGGTTAACGCGGTCGGTGCTAGCTTAAGAAACGTACACACACATCACGGGGTCCCAGTTAATGGCATTTAGAAGTGTTTTGTGTTTTCGACCAACTGCACTGAGACTGTCGTCTTTTCATTGGTCAGCCGGTTAGCGCGGTCGATGCTAACAATAAAAACACAAACACACACATCACGGGGTCCCAGTCAATGGCATTTAGAAGTGTTTTGTATTTTCAACCGCACTGAGACTGTCGTCTTTTCATTGGTCAGCCGGTTAGCGCGGTCGATGCTAACAATAAAAACACAAACACACACATCACGGGGTCCCAGTCAATGGCATTTAGAAGTGTTTTGTATTTTCAACCGCACTGAGACTGTCGTCTTTTCATTGGTCAGCCGGTTAGCGCGGTCGATGCTAACCAAAGAAATACGCACACACACGAAACTCTTCCGCATACTCCCGGTCTAGTCGGTGGCGACGAAGCGTGGGCCGCTGCTTTCGAAGCCCTTTCGGCCGAAGGGCTCGTCAAGACAAGCTTGGACCTGGAGCAGAGATCCCTCGACGAGCGGCTTTTGGACGTCCAAGAGACGTACGACTTTAGCGCCGGGAGCGGGTACCGCGAAGGAAAGCCGGACGAGGACGAGGGGGCACGCAACCTGGATCAAGGAAAAGAGGGGGTGAGAGAAGGAAGGCTCGTGTTTGGGTTTTTCCTGATGCTTGCGTTCCTCCTTGGTTGTGTGGAGGAAGGCTAGCGTCGTTTTTTCCTATATGGCTGTGTGCAGTTCGCCCCCCCCCCCCCCCCCGGTGTTTGCCATCGGGGTTTGGGTTTTCGTCGCTTGGCAACGACGTTGTAAAACAAGCACCCCACTCGGTGTTTGCCATCGGGATTGGGTTTTCGTCGCTTGGCAACGACGTTGTAAAACAAGCCAATTCACTTCGTGAACTCGGCAACCAGGTTACCGTTTTTCTTTTTACCTCGGTTTTTTTTTTTTTGCGGTAACCATAATGGTGGTCGAGTAGATCATGTTGTGCGGGGTGGAGAAACCTCACTCCGCGCAACGGGGGATGATCGCACCACGTTGTGTTAAAATGGTCAAGCTTCCTCGAGGCAGTTACACAGTGCTTACAACTGTCTCTGGAAGTGAAAGCACCAGAAAATAAATTAAGTCATACGTAGCTGTCATCCGTAGGCAAGGAAGTAAGCACAAGATGCCGAACACCCTTAGCAGGATGGCAGCTCACCCTTCATGCGACTCGCCAAATACCTCACGGCGCTTCGCGCTTGGTGATGTGAGAGCCTGGTCCGGTGAGAACCCGGCGTGCTCCGTCCCGGCTTTGTAGGGATGCGAGGTCAATGGTCAAACGACTACGGCATGCACGACTATGAGTACACCCCCCCCCCTTTGTTGGTTGTAGAGGCTGCATAGTAGTGTGTTGTAGGAAATGCACATACAATCAGAGGGACTGGGTTCAAGCATCCTCACAAAGCCGGGACGGAGCACGCCGGGTTCTCACCGGACCAGGCTCTCACATCACCAAGCGCGAAGCGCCGTGAGGTATTTGGCGAGTCGCATGAAGGGTGAGCTGCATCACTGCTAAGGGTGTTCGGCATCTTGTGCTTACCTCCTTGCGTACGGCAGCCAGCTACGTATGACTATATCAAGGTAAATAGGAGAAAAAAAACGATGTGTATCGGCGGGGGCACAACGATGACCGCCGCTTCCCGGACCAAGAGAAAGCAATAGCACACAGCGACGATTGCAACATCGTCAGCAACAACGATAACAGCAACAGCATCAGTAGCAACAACAACAGCAAGAACCACAACAACAACGAGAAGGTTGCTTCTGACAGTGTGATTGCCCCCCCCCCCCCCCC